AATTCCTCACTACAATGATGTCTGGGGATCCAGAGTAGAAAAATCTCTACCAAAGATAATCCTGTAATGCTCAATTTTTTTCCACAGGTCTTCAATTCTGCTAGATCGGTGGAAGAAAACCAGGCCTTCTAGTTTTCTAAACCTTGCCTAAGTGAACCTGAATAATTACTGAGAAATAAGCCATAGTCCCTTTAATGTTTTGTTAATAGCATTGGCGTCTCTTTGCCCTGTGTCCATATCCAACAGACCTCCTAATACATAATTTAAGTATTTCTTAAAAATAGATACATCTCCAGTTGGTATAGTTTCGCTGACCTCTTGTCACAGCTCTACGACTGCACAAAGGCACCAAAGCTGTGGGCTGGTCCTGGACCATCCAGAAGGGACAAGGAGTCAATCAGTTTTATCTATCATCAAAATACATCTGTTGTGTTGCACACACAAAGGGTAACCAAACCCTCCTTTAAAGCCAAAGTGATTTCTCTGCAAATCTCAAGTATTTCCCCACAAGTGCACTCATGGAGCTCGGTGTAAAGTCCAGGGCAGGAAGTATTTGCATACTTTGGAACGGATACTGCCCGCAGCTGCCAGGGCTGGGGCTCCAAATCCAACTGAAAGCCTCTGGCTCCACCTAGAGATTCATCATTCAAGCTGCAGCCCTGGAATTCCAGGCACAAGGTGTGGAAAGGAGGAAAACATGGAAAATACCACCACTGCTTTAGGCACTCTCTTCCCTTTTTTTCCGTGCTGGGGAAGATGAGGACTGCCCTGGATGCGTGACCTAAACAGTCACACTGTGGTACCCACTAACTTGTCAAATACAAAAGAAGAGTTTTGCAGTTCTGGATGTGCTAGAAAGAATTCAAATTACACTATCAAGAAAAAGTACTCCTTGCTATTCACTGCTGTCATTGATGGAACGCTCTAGGACAAACAGAATGTTTCACTCAACAGATCTTATCTATGGGGGGGGACACAGGATGATATTTTTTCACATATGTTTGTTGTGCTGTTCCCAGGTAACATTAGAGCAGCATGAACGAAGTGCACTGAACATACCTTCTTCTGAATGAACAGGAAAAAAGAATATAGATACCAAGCCACAGTATAAGACCCACCATAGCTCCATAGTCTGTTTTGTTTACAGAAAAGGTTCAAAACAGCTGAGATGGACCTGCCTGTAGTAAGCTTGCTCATGCCACTGGAAAAGGGTTGGAAGAGAAAGGAAAAAATCAAAACTAAATACAAAGCAATTACTTCCAGCAGCAGGAAAGGGCCACAGGATCAGCCCAGGACCGTGAAGTAAATTTAACATGAATGCAGAGCTCTCTCCTCCATGGCTTATTTGCTCACTTAACAAGTAAATCTGCAATAATCTTACCTCTACATCCTGCTTGTTAGCTAACACCAGAATAGGAACCCCTTCCAGAGCTTCGCTGGTAATCATCTTCTCTATAAAGCACAGAAACAAAACCAGAGGTTTAGCCAGTTCTGGAAAACGAAGCTGTGCAAATGGCTGACACAGACTAGACAGGGATGAAGCAAGAGGCTCCTTCTTGCATTACAGTTTCATTTGAGACAACCTTTCAGGTTCATTTTTCTTCACATCATTTTTGCCAGATCAAACTCCAAAGTTAATTTTGATGAATAAGCATGTTACTGAGAATTAACGAGGTGATAAAAATAGAATAAGGAATAAAAATTCTCAAATCATTAGCATAAGCACAAAAAGAGATTCAAGGCCATTACAGGCAACAAAAGTGAGTCCTGTGTTACAGACAAGACAGGCTTTAACAAAAAGGTGCACAGATGTGTCATCAACAGGCCACACAGCTTAATTCAAGGACACAGGAAGAGAGACAACAGAGAACTGTGCCACCACACATCATGGAATGACAGCACAGGAGAAACACCATGTACTCACCGAAAGCTCTTTTAGATTCTGCGAGCCTCTCCTCATCAGTGGAGTCAATCACGTAGATCACACCGTGAGATTCAGCATAATACTGAAATAACACAGACACTAGTGTATCTATCCGCTAGGACCATTTGTTCCTCTTCCTGATTTTGGTTTTAATTTGGCAAAATTTTGACACACATGGAAGAGATCAACCACTTTGAGCCAGCTGTTTCCATAGTACATGTGTGGAGGGAAGAACGGCGGCACATAAAATGCACTGCCTGGTGTGTTTGCAGCCCTGCTGAATCCAACAGTTGAGAAAGTTTATCTGTCTCCCCAAAAAGCTTATCTCTACTGGCTAAACTCTCAGATACGGGTTAGTAATTGCTGTCTTAATAATGCAAATATTAAGCATTATCTTTGCTAATATTGCACGGATAAAGCTGAACCTCTGGAAAAGCATTGACACTAAATACTAGGGTTACCAACAAGCCTGTATGATTACTAAATGAGCTGCTTCAATTCTAAAAATGACAAAAATATTAATAAAAGAAAAAAATACATCTCCAACCTTGTCCCAAAGAGACTGTAGCTCCTCCTGTCCACCAAGATCCCAGAACATCAGCCGAGTTTTGCCAACGTCAATAGTACCAACTAGAGGGAAAGAAGAAAAAAACAATCCAGTGAAAACATGGGGAGCTGGGAGATACGATCTTTACTTGCAGGAACTAGTCTGCTCTTGCAAATTCTTAAATATTTCAAACAAAAACCAGCTGTTGTCTAACTGTGCAGGAAATCTGAAAAAAAATTCCAAACACTTACTGTTTAAGCCTACAGTGGTTGTGATTTTGGACAAACTCATCCCTTTGTAGTTCTTGTTAAATCGAGTTTTAGTTTGTTCAAGGAAGGTCTGAAAAGGAACAAGAAAAAGTACTTACTCTCAATATGTTTCTGGCTGGGGTAATCCTAACCCAAACCTGCCTTTTCATTTCTGCAGAATCCTTCTCCCACAGATACTGCCCTACCTAACCTTGGAACAAACCACTCTGCTTGTTCCCCACTTTAGCAAGGAAAGAAGGGATCACAGGTGATTACAGGATTACCAAAGCCTCAGTTACATCCCTGAAAGCTTATGCTAAATTTAAGTAAGAGGGACAAGTTGATTCTTTGGTGTGACATCACTCCAGTAACTCACAATACAGCCAAATAAAAGCTGATCTGTCTGTTGGAAGTTTCACCTTTGGAGGATGTTTAGAATTATGTGTGCCCTCGACGCAATGGGTAATAAACAGCACTTACAGTTTTACCAGCATTGTCCAAACCCAGGATCAAGATGCAGTACTCATCCCTCTGGAACATGTATTTGTAGAACCCTGACAGCAGCGTATACATCCTGCTCCTGCAACACGTACCAGGAAATCATTAACAAATCGGTCATTTCCAAAAGCCTCTCATTCCGCAATGCAAGCTTTTCCCGACACCAATGACGTTATTCTTTCATCAGTGACTCTCATATTTCAGGACAAACCACAGATCTAAGAGAGATCACACAAATAGCTCAAGATCAAATTTCAAACACCTACAAGTGAGGGATTATCTTCCAAAGAGCTTAACCTCTGCTGCTGCACATCGTGCCCAGCAACCACAGCAAACTCAACCCTCATTTGAAAACTACCCTGTTTGCTTTGGGGCTTAAAAGAGAGTTAATGAAGGGCTTGAATGTCTTGTGTGGTACATGTAAGACCTACAGAAAAAGAAATCATCTTCATACAAATACACAGAATAGGTACTTTGAGCAAGCATGTACGGGCCAGTTCCTCCCTCCTTGTTCCTGATCCTGTATCATGGGATCTTTAACGGGCAAACCAAGCGCAGCGTATTGTAGAGGCACATAAACCCCCTACTTATCTTAACTGAAGCCTTATCCAGCAACACTCCTCTGTTACGGTATCCACCACACAAGTATTCTGTCACCTTGCAATGCCATGAAGACAAGGCAGGTAAGTCCCAAAGCACAAGACTAAGAATCAGTGACACCAACACCTGCAGAAGCCTAAAGGGTTTTTGTTGTCGGATTTGCAGAGAAGGCAGAGAAGATTTGCTAAGGTGCAGGAAGCGCTGGTACCCAGCTGACTCACAGAACATTGCAAAAAAGGGAACCTCAAGGCAAAGACTTTGGGAGGGAACGGTCTTTGAGCAAGTGCGCAGATAAATATTCCCTTTGAAGTCAAACAACGTTGCCTAAAGGAAAAAACCAGTGTTCCAGAGAAGAAGTAAGGGACTTCTCAGGCTGGAGCACGGTCAGCGCGCACAGCCACCGTCCCGCTCCCCCGGGATCCAGGAGACCTCCCCGCTCCCTCCCCCGCCACGGCCTGACAGGGAGAAGGGCCGAACCCTGCCCTCCCACCCTCCCCGCCATTTCCCCCTCACGGCCCGCGGTCAGGTCCCGGGCCAGGCCGGTGGCACCTCGCAGGCCCGCC